AGCCGAACTTTGTTCCAGACTGAGTAAATGTAACATTATATACATGAAACAATCTTTTATACACTATACTTTTCATGGTGGATGTGCTACCCACGTGACTGTCAATCATTCCCAGCGAAAATAAGGGAGGATGGTCCTTAAATTTACCTGCCAGGTGAAAACATCCCTGCTCGGTTTTACATAGCATGTTAAACGTTACAGAAATATTTTCCACAAGAAAGTGTACGGAATACCATAGGTAAGTGACCTAGTTCAATAAGTAACAAGAGCGAAAGGACCTTAGTTACTTCCTTGAACCGACTTTCTATGATAAAACTACATACAACGTATGTACAAAAATGTTGTAAGATTTTATATTAAATAAGGGGGTAGAAAACACGTAGTATACCTGCATATTACAAAGCATTCTGAAAACCTTTCATATCACATGTAAACGTTTCTGAATAAAGCTTATGATTCGCAATGTACATTTGATGATATTTTATTCTACTAGGACAAGTAGATTTTAAGAAATAATTATTTTGAATATGGAATTTTCTTTATTCTGACCATTTAGCTTTAGATATATCGATAGAAGGATCAAAAGCTTTTTATAAACCTTGACTCTTCGTGCATACGATGTTTAATCTGAACATAAACCTCAAGTCTTTCTGGAACATCCTTTTCAAAGTTCTCTGCAGGTGAGAAACCAATAAACTTCTATTCGAGCTACACATTAGCATAATACGTATTTCAAGCCTAAAGGGACGCTAAATATAGAACATGCTCATAAATATGAATGAGAAAAAAGTTCTAGCCCTGAAAGCTTTGCAGCATTAAAGGGGCTAACATTCGTCCGTAACAATTTACTAAATTATTAAACAGGTTATTTGCGATGAGACAAAAACATTTCTTTTGTGTCACACCTAAGTAGGAAAACTTGGTTGTTTCATCATTTATTTAATTTAGAGGGTAGTTTAGTGCTAAAAGTATTAAAACACGTAATTTAGACATAATTTCTTAGTGATTTATGCAACAACACAATTTAAACACAATAATAAAGTATTTCATATTGCCACTTAAGCTAAAAAATAATAGTGATTTATATGAAAACACCACTTGTATTTATTACTAAGTATCCACCACTTCAAAAATATATTAGTGTTTTATGAGACAACACCGTAAATTTATATATTTGATACTGACATTTTATGTAACAACACCGTACATTTATATACAGGGTACAGACGTTTACGTGAAAACACTGTACATTTGTATACAGATTAGTGATGTTTTATGTGACAACACCGTATGCTTATATACAGGATAACTGACGTTTTATGTGACAACACCATACATTTATATACAGGGTACAGACGTTTACGTGAAAACACTGTACACTTATATAGAGAAGACCCTTTTTTTATATGCCATGCCATTCGACGCAAAATATTTAACGATTGAAATGGTAGAGAAAATAGTTGAATAATTAAACTCACATAAGATTCCAATTGTAATTCACCTACATCTACTCTTAAACATTGAAACAAAAGCCGCAACAGTGAACAGACATATAAAAGTTTCGTCAGATGTGATATGTCTTCAGCCGGATTGATAGGGACTTTATTTACTGCGAAGAAATAAGTTTTGTGTTTCTCCACATTTTCGTATTCTGATCTACTGAGATTGTTCAGCTGTGTCCAGGTTGGACAGATTTCATTTTCTTTTATCTTTTTAACACAGAATTCGATTTTTTCTTTTTTTAAAGAATTATTTCAGTAGTATTCAGGACATGAATTTTGTTTCCACCAGGTGCCGCCACAGTTGGGTGACTCAACTTTTACTTAAGGTTGGAAATAAAGGGATACTATTCTTTATAATTATGTTTAAGTTGGAATTTCGGAACTTTTGAATATTCAACCTGTTGTGGCGACTCAAAAATAGATTATTTCAGCTGCAGTGTCACAGTTGGTTAAATTGCCTAAAGATGGTGGCAACAGCAAATGTGAAATCGATATTTTCTATCTGATCATGAAATTTTATGCATTATACATGAACTAAACAGCCAGTCGGAATCCCCGAGTTTCGGGCCTAACCTTTGAACTGCCAACCAGAGGAAGGGCAGTAACCTTTGCCTGCACAACAATTCTTAACTTAATAGCGAGTTTCCCTGTTACTTGTACAACGCGCCCACATCTAAAAGTGTGGAGGGTGTTCGCTGGCATATCGCGGGCTCGAAACTCGGACCTTTCGATCTACTGCAAAACACATATAGCTACTGCGCCACGCCCGGCCCAAATGTGAAAGACGGGGTGCTAGCTGACGTCAGTTGGTGGAAAGTTATATGGTTGATTCAACTAAGCAGACTCTTAACCAAAAGTCGGAACCTGGGCGAAATAATTACTTTTAAAGAAAACGAAATATTATAAAGTAAATATTTAACACTGTAACTTGAGTTGTGAAAAATCCTTTTTTTTTTTACTGTCTTTTGAAAATACTTTTGTTTGTTTGTTGTCCAGCAGTATGGGCTACCTGTGCCGTGCCCACCATAGAGATACCCGAATTTCAGCCTTAGAAGCCCTCAAGCTTACTATAGGTCTACTGTGGGACTTTTAGTAAAAAGCCAGATGTCGAAATATTCTCACATGGGGAATAACTGTATCTACCTTCGATGTAAATAATATGAAAACTTAATTAATAATCTCATTATATTTTGTATTCTGTCGGTGTGTTTGTTAATTAATACAATAAATTCGTCAGATATTTCAAATAACACTCTTTCATTTATGTTACAGCGTTTATTATCATCTGAATCCAGAAAGACTCAGGCCATTCAAAATGTACAGGCGGATAATAAGCTTCATTACCATGTTATCTCTTTTGTCATTGGTCATTAGTCGGCACGTGCAACCTGTGCAGACACGTCATCATGGCTCGAGGGTAAGCATATATTTATATACTTTCTGCCCTTGGTGGCACGGGTCAAATCAATTATTTTTAGCTTGGTAGTTGCTATGCTAGGTAGTTTTGATATTCTAGATCAAGATGTCCTGATTCATAGTCAGAACCTGTTATTGAAGTCAATAAATCACTTCTCGATTTGTGGACCGGTTTAATGTTGGACTCAAAGGAAGTGGGCGGAGGTATTTTATTGGATTTATCTTTCTCTCCTTCGATTCATAAAATATGTCCAACGTTATTTGATGCAATTTTTGTTTTTGTGCTAAAAGTGCAAGAAAGATAAGGAATACTAGTTGGAAATTGAAATAAATCAAAGCGATAAATAAACCTGAAATGATTTCTAGAGTTTGAAAAGACCGCGGTAGCTCCAAGATGATTTCCAATGTTTTGCCTAACTACAGTTCTCATGACGCCATCTACTGAGATTTGTCAAAACATTATTCGAATAATGACAAGACACTGTAAGAAAGAAACAGAAAAACTGACAGACGTATATAAAGTTTCTGTATACACGAAAAAAGCACATTTCTATAAAATATAATCTTTAGCTTATGAATCATATATCACAGAAGCATGTCTCTAAATAACCTGAGAAAATGGCTGACCTTGTGGTGACGTGGATATCTATTTACTGAGGCAATTGTAATGTATCGAATCGATATTTTACCTATGTAAAACTACAAAATGTATTTATATGTGTGTGCATGAAATCGAAGCTAATTCTTACAATGTTAGAAACTAAGGTGATGCTGTTTTGTTTTTTGGAATGCATCATAATTTGAAATCACGTCAATTATGTTAGTTTGGGGAAATATTTAGATTGATTGGTTAATACTGTTTTGTAAGTTTATCTATATTCCACGGGCATCTCTAGTGCTTTATATCAAACGAAAGAACACAAGACTTTTCCTTGTGTTTGACACATTGTACCCCTTAACAGAATTTAACGTGCATACTACGTTATTTATAGTTTACGGGTCAGCTTAAGATAACACATCCATTGATGGTCTTTAACCCCAGTACAATATTCTTTGTAGTTTACAGACCAGTTTATTACATCATACTTCTTGGTGGTCTTTAACCCTCGTACAATATTCTTTGAAGTATGATGTAATAAACTGGTCTGTAAACCACTTGATGGTAATTATCTTACACATTACCGTCTTTAAGGTTTACCGACTAGTTTATTACATCATACTTCTTGGTGGTCTTTAACCCTCGTACTACATTCTTCGTGGTTTACAGACCAGTTTATTACATCATACTTCTTGATGGTAATTATCTTACACATTACCATCTTTAAGGTTTTCAGACCAGTTTAGTATATCATAGCCGTATAAAGGACTGTAGCTAGCGTACTGTTTTTTTTTCTTCTAGACTACACATATTTGCACACGTACTCATTTGTGTTTATAAACATTTCACTATTTGTAGAAAGGCTACATATTTAGTCTATAAAGAACTATACAGCTTCTAGTATTTATTAATAAGTTGCATTTAAAAGAAAGCCAACTATACAGATTAGAATGTTTAAAAATCTAACTTTTAATTAAATGAAACTAATTTTATGTCACAAACTAACAGGAAGTACAAAGTATCATAAAGAAAACAACAAGAAGATTAAATATGTATTTGATTCATTAGTTGGATACACTCAGTATTAAGGATATTTTCAGCCATAATCTAAATGACTGACGTACAGGTGATTGAAAAGAAACATCGCAATCTCATTGTTTAAAACAGATGTAGTATTTAGGAAAATGTCACATTTTCTTTCTTTTTTAACTTAGAAAGTTCATCAAAGTTTTCAGAATATTTCACACTCCCACACGTTTGACGTATGTGTTGTATTGAAGTGCATTTTAAACCCTTGCTATTGTATGTCTTGATATTAATATCTCCCAAGTTGCATAGGTAATTTCCCTTTGGAGTTACTGAACTATCACATGGAAGGTGTCGTTGGAGAACTCTCTGGCTTTGTCTTAGTGTTTTCTAGTGACTTAAAAATAGCTGGAGGATGAATCTTCCCTGTTTTAATTTTATATATATATATATATATATTATCCAGACTTTTTTGAGATAACACTCTAAAAACTAAAGAGCAGTATTGTCCCTCATTCTGTTTGTCTTTTTCCAGAAATCTCATTATTTTTATGTTACTGTATACTAGTGTCCAGTCTTTTTTCTCCAACTCAACCGGGTCAAAGAGTCAGTTATTCCAATTAGTGCAGTCACTATTCTTGCGTGAGGGTTATTAGCGAATCCGAGGATACTACATGATGCGATAACTCTTGCGTGAGGGTTATTAGTGAATCCGACAATACTACATGATGCGATAACTCTTGCGTGAGGGTTATTAGTGAATCCGAGGATACTACATGATGCGATAACTCTTGCGTGAGGGTTATTAGTGAATCCGAATATACTACATGATGCGATAAATCTTGCGTGAGGGTTATTAGTGAATCCGACAATACTACATGATGCGATAACTCTTGCGTGAGGGTTATTAGTGAATCCGAGGATACTACATGATGCGATAAATCTTGCGTGAGGGTTATTAGTGAATCCGAGGATACTACGTGATGCGATAACGAACATTGTTCTCGAACAGTTTAATCATAAAAGTACTACTTTTGGGGCCTTTAAGAATTGCAGTTCGTAAGATGCAGAGGGGAATATCGTACTCAACATATTCAATACCACTATTTAAAAACAAAACAAAAAAAAAAGCTTTCGTGTTTGTAATAAATGTTGAATATGAACGCCGTACCCATGTTTTCTAGAAAGCCTTATTACTTTTGTTTTAATATTACAGGTTGGGCCCGTCTCTAGGCGAGAGGACTCAAAAGCCGGTACGTATTGGTTAATATTTGGTCTTGATTTTAATTAAGAGTTTAGTGTTAACATGCATCCTTGATTTCAAAACAGTAATAAGAAAATATATCATTAAAAGCAAACAATAGCGAAACAAATAGTTCAAAACTTAAGCCTAAAAGTTCAAAGGAATAGAAGTAAATGGTACGCGAAATATTGATGATAATAAACTAGCCCATAAATACTTCTTGTAACTTTTGATTCTATCAACCAATTATAGGAAATGGCGTAGAAAAAAATATATGTTACTTAAACTTTTAACGCTTTCCTTCAACAGATCGGCCAATATTGACTTCCATAAAGAAATATATATTAGAATAAAACAATTGTATGTATATTTTCCAGACTGGCATCTCGAAGTGTTAGGTTTAAGATTTGTGGTTTAAAAGAACAAGGGTTCTCGATAATATAGAAGTTTTTGTGAATGTATACAATCTGACACAGTTAATAGAACAGTTCCCTATACAATAAAGATATGTGGTTATCTAGACATATATTTCTAATTTCAAAATATACGTGTTATGCTTTCGATTTCGTAACAAGCTACTCACATATCACGAATCAAAATACATAAAATTTCTTTGAATGATAAACTTAGGCTATGTATGTTTGTCTAAAACACGTGGTGAATATAAATGTATTATTCTAATCAACAAAAACAAAAAGTTATATATTTAATTTTGACTTCAGATAAGTGTGTTTGTTTTTTTAAGTCTAGAAATAAAACTCTTATTTATTTTGTTATAGGCCATGTTTTTAATGTAGTCGTTTGTACCGTTGTTTGGTCAAAGGGAGGATTGACATCACGCAATGGTCGCGTGGCTTAACGCCAGGAATTTCCTTCAGAGTTTCATAACAATGTTGTGCCCTAAAGTTAGCTTTCCACACAGCTTATTGATAATAAAACTTTCCAGTCATCATTAAGAAGTCTAGATTTCTTATTGTTCTTCATACCAAATAAAATAATAACAATAATAGAAACCACTACAACAATATGAAGTAGGCCATGGTTCATAAAGAAATTTAATCTATTTTGTATTTTGTCAAACGACTATTACGATGTAGATATATATGTTTAATTTAAACTTTAGAATTCGGATGAGTTTAAGTATAGGACTATAGGTCCAAAGATGATCTAACTCGGCTTTTCATGCTGCTACATCAGTACCAATTTAGGCTAACGCGTAAAATTAAAGAAATCCAGCAACATTGTTAAAATGTATATCTGATTATCATGATTTCTACGTTATTGGGATAAAATACAGTATTCATAGAAATACATTCCGTTTTTAGGGTTTATTTGATTAATGAATCTTTGGCGTAGGCGTAAGTTGCATATATTTTCCACATTATATAGGCTTCATCTATTTTTGAACGTTTTTGTTTCACGTTGTGATTAGTTAGGTAATAAACAATGAATTATTTTTCAGTGATTAATCACCATCTACGTTTAACAAAAACTCCCGCCAGTACTATATCAATGTTGCCCTACGAGAGTAAAGTTTTGTCTTGCCAAGCTGTGGGAAGCCCTCCTCCAACCATTCACTGGTTGAAAGACGGCGAGAGACTAATTCAGGTAAGGCAATTCTGCTCTCGACGATATGTAACTAACACAGAGATAAAATCTGTACGCAAAGCTACACAGGGACTGTATGCACACAGGAGTCCCTAACTTCGAACTGTTAGGCCAGAGAGATGGAAGCTAGTAAAAAACACCCACCGCAACTCTTAGGCTACTCTTGTTTCATCGAATAGTGAAGTTTGACAGTTACTCCTATATCACCATCACGGACCCACAGTGCGAAACGTGTTTTTGCGGCAAAGGAACACGAACCGTGAACCCTCATATTTACAATTTAAGCACGCTAACCACTAGGCTACACACGGCTCGAAACAAGGGCCTTAAAAGTATAAGTGGATCAAATGTGGTCCAATCCAACTCTCACAACATAGGTCGGTCAATTTGACCGAATCTCGTGATCTTTTGTAGTCGTTTAAATTCTTTATAAATTTAATACTTACAACTCTCAATATATTGGATATATCTTCAGGAAATTTGGTAGTCTTTCAGTTAATATTACAAGTATTTCACATACAAAAAGTCATATTTCTTAGTGAAGTATCTTTAATAAAATAAAACAAAGATTTGCCCATAAATATATTGAGTATTTGTTTTGAATAGTCCGTGAACAAAGTAATTTTCATTTTAAAATTAAAAATACTTTTCATCATTTCAAAAATATCAAATTTCCTTTGTATAATCCCTAAATCCTCCCAAATGCAGTTCAAACGTTTTTTTTTCATTAAAACTTTATAGTTTCTCTGTTATTTTATCTTAAAAGAACTATTTATGATATTTACTTATAGTTGTTGGTGAATAATAATCACTTGGAGTTCCATTAATTGATAACAACTAGAAATCTAATATATATATATATTGTCTGAAACTTTCTTGTCTCAGTTGTAACTGAGTGCTAGCCATTAGAACATTAGAACGAACTACCTGACATCACAAATTGTATGGGGGTTAGGAAGCTCGACTCACCACCTGTAGGTTGCGGGTTCGAATTCCGCCACCAAACATGCTCGCCCTTTCAACCGTATGGGGCGTTAAAATGTATCAGTCAATCCCATTTTTCGTTAATAAAGAGTAGCCCAAGAGTTGGCAGAATTCAACAAACAAACTAGTAATTTAGTGGTAATAACATTTAGTGGTTAGCGTGTTTAAATTGTTGAAATGTAAATAAAGCTCATTGCTCCTTTCTGTAAAGTTTGAAGTCGGGACATTTCACTTGGTTTGCTAAATTTCCAAAATGTAAAATCTTTGTAATATATAAACGCACATGGTCACATAAGGTGTAAAAATGTGTATACAGGTGAAGAACTGTTCAGAATTTTCCCCAAATTAACCTTCACACAGCAAGCTTTGCAAATAAGGAAATTAATCATGGCAGCTTTCCAATATTATATTATATTTTATGTCCGTGTTCACATATATATATAAAGTGTTGGCGTGTTTTAGCTATTTCAAAGTAAAAAGAAAGTCAACCTCATAAATACTGAGAGTTTTTTTTAGAAACAAAGTGCTTAGAGCCTATTGAGTTTTAATACGTTAGATAAGTAAGAAATGGTAGACGTTTTTATATGTTCAATCCATCCAGGATACATTGGCTAGTCTTCAAGACGATGGAAACATCGACACCTTACCTTTGTATGGAGCCAGCCAAACCAGATCCAAATTATTCGTCGATTGCATCACCGCACGGGATGAGGGTACCTACACTTGTGTGGCTGAGACGCCTTACAGTCGAGCCAGCAGCGACACAATGATCACTGTGTCAGAGGAAGAATTAGCTGTGGCCGAGCCTCTCTGTTTGAAAAACAAGTTATTTGGTTAGTTTATATGCCAATTTAAAATTGTATTGATAAAATTAAATACCCTGTTAATTTGCGTACAAAACAATGGGGGCGCCAATCGTAAATGAATAAGAATTGTCTGACAACCAATAAAAACTCTTTAAAATATTATTCAACAATTTCACACAAAAACATACAAAAGACAAATTAAATTGTTTGTTGTGTACTACAAATAATAAAAATGTTTCATATAATAACCAGAATACAGGTTATACAGATACACAAAAAACTTAGTAACAGCTTTGCTAAAGAACTGTTATAGTCTCCTTTTATTTCGGCTGGAATGGGGCAGGGAGGGAAATGATATTCGGTCCCCAAGTTAATTATTGGGGGCACGTCCCCCCCCCCGGTTCTATGACAACTATACGTACAAAGCGCACCAAAAGATGCTCAAGCATAAGACATAACAATAACGTACGAAAAAAGTAACAATTCTTGCTTTAAATAAAACGATCATGATTTATTATTATTTCTATTAATGGCTGGACGTTTTTTTTTATGACAACAGTAAGTTATTATCCGTTCGTAAGCTGTTGTCTTATAAAATGTATAATTCTTCCTTTAACACAGAAAGAGCAGCGTCCTACTGACCTTCACTGTCGTCTGTGAAAGTCATGCACGCGGAAACGGTAAACAAGTAAAAAAACAAGGGTGTAAGTCTTGGCCAGAAAAAATAAAACAAACTACAGGTTTGGTTTTAAGCATTCTTTCAAACATTAAAGTTGACTTCAGTAGATTATTCATTTCTTGGCTAAGAGCGAGAAATTTCATCAAAGTAACATAGATTAAACTTATGTCATTACCATTTTTGTGTGAATATTTTTACACAGTGCAGTGTGTATGTGTTTTCAGCAAAAGCAACAAAAGATATCTGTTATTTAATTTTTCAAAACAAATACCTCTGTGTATCAGCAGAACTTGTAGTGGTATTTGATCGTGTCAGTTTATTTGGTTAGATTTTGGTGTAAGGTTATGAGAAAGATACTGGGAAAGGGTTTTATTTAACAGATTCAGTTATGTAGTCAATGTTATCGAAGTATTGATAAGTAATTTCGAAATATAAGGTCTCTGTAAGGTAAGCCATTATGAATGTTACAAATATAGGATATCTATTGTAAAAATGTTTTGTTTTGTTTGGCAGGTTTGCCTCCACGAATCTACACGTGGACACGCTTTCGTATAGAATTGCAAGGAAATGACGTCCAGTTGTTCTGTCGTAGTTCAGGGCTACCAAAACCGAGAGTGACATGGTCAAGAAGTGGCAAAGAAACGCCGCTTAAGAATGGCGAGAAGTACATTGTAGGTGTTAGCGGGTTCGGACATTCTTTAATTATAAGTGATAGTACTAATAGTAATTTTTTCTGCCGTTTTTTTTTCTTGACACCAAAAATTCTATGTATATATATTTATATGAAATGATGAAGTGCCACCTATTGAGTATGTCATTAACTTCACATAACAGAAATTATTGTGTGAAATTGCGTCCCAGACAGCACAGATAGTCCATTATGTAGCTTCGCGCTTGAAAAAAACAACAACAAAAAACAAACAAACAAATTTTGCAATTGTTTTTAAAAGTTAACAAGTGCATTTTCTTTGTATAGACGTAAACTTATCTAAAAATCAATATCTGCGCCATTATTCTCGCAGTAATTTGAGATGTTTGTTTTTTAATTTCGCGCAAAGCTGCACTAGGGTTATCTGCGCTAGCCGTCCCTAATTTAGCAGTGTAAGACTAGAGGGAACAATACATTTCAAATTGGCCTGGTGGTTAGGGCGCTCGTCTCGCAATCTGAGGATCGCGGGTTCGAATCCCCGTCCCGCCAAACATGCTCGCCCTTTCAGCCGTGGGGGCGTTATAATGTGACGGTCAATTCCACTATGCGTTGGTAAAAGAGTAGCCCAAGAGTTGGCGGAAGGCTGCCTTATGAAAACTTTTTCATACATACACCGAGAAAAGTTTTTAGCTGAATAAACCTTCACAAAACATCGTTCACGAACAACTAAGAGAAGGAAGACTTGCAATGTTATTTCAAATATGTTCTCTGGGAATATATACGCAACCAAGAACAGACAAATATTAAAAGAAGTCGAATTTACTATTAGCTCAAAAACAATGACTTTTTTTTTCTCTTTTATTCATAGTGCCAATAAATACGATTTGCACTATAAAGTTTGTCTTTCTTTCGTTTTTAAGTTCTACAGATTCATGTTTTATATACAGAGTTAATTTATCAGCATACTTAATTACGAGTGGATACAAACCAGATATGTATTTCTGTCAGGAAATACATATCAGGTTTGTAACCCATAATTGGACTTTTTGTTTGTACTTAAGTGCCAAGCTACACAATGGGCTATATACACTGTGCCCACCATGGGCATCAAAACCGATTTGTAGCCTGTAAGCCCTCAAACGGCCTGGCATGGTCAGGTGGTTAGGGCGCTTGACTCGCAATCTGAGAGTCGCGGGTTCGAATGGCCGTCCCAACAAACATGCTCGGCCTTTCAGCCGTGGGGGCGTTATAATTTTACAATCAATCCCACTATTCGTTGGCAAAAGAGTAGCCCAAGAGTTGGCGGTGGGTGGTAATAACTAGCTGCCTTCTCTCTAGTCTTTCACTGCTAGATTAGGGACAGCTAGCGCAGATAGCCTTCGTGGAGCTTTGCGCGAAATTCAAAACAAACCAAGCCCTCAAGTTTATTACTGAGTTACTGGGGGCAAAAAAAAACAAAAAACCGTAAATGTATACTACCTTTTATGATCGAGTTATATGTAATTGAATAGACGACAGAGTAATGATTCCAATTTAACGGCATTAATTTACATCTAAGAAAACTTTATATCAAAGTAGTCATGGATATTGTACCATTCGAGAGAAGCTAAGCAAAAAAACGTTAAATTTAGTTTTAATTGAAACAATTACGGTTGCAAATATAGTTTTATTTGAGTTTAAATGATTACATTTTCTGGGAATATTTTACAGATTCTGGACAATGGAGATTTAATCATACAGAACATAATCTGGGAAGACATGGGTATTTACACCTGTAATGCCCAGAATGCTTTCGGGTTAGACACGGCCTTGGCATTTCTGTATCCAGCAAAGGTAGGTCGTTCATCATCTGAAAATCGTAATTTGTCTTGATATTTGTTACGATAACGACTACTTAGGATACCGTATAGTTGTGTCATTGATAATGTTAAGTAAGACTAGATTGACCTAGTTTACGATTCAGCGCAGAAAAACAAACCTGAACCCAAGGCCGATGCACTATACAAAAACGTAAACACAACAGATACGAACGATGTTTACGCCGTTATAAATATCACAGAAGGAAAATTAAACACTATGAAAGATATTGTATTTATTAATTATATTAAGTGTTAACGTTCTTGTTAGCCTTGAAATGTGACAACAATAAAAAAACAGTGTTTTGAGCTTGTTAAACATTCAGAAATATTCAAATATAACTTTTTCCACGTGACAAGAAACAAAACAGAATATTGTTACGTCTCCGTTTGTTAATTAACTTTCCGTAACTTCGT